GCTCGTTACAATACTATTAAAAAGCAATTATTAATTTGGGAAGAATTTGGAAATATGACATCAAATGATATTATGAATATAAGCGGAATATTTTTTATGAAATATTACATTCTATGAGAAAAGTTCAACGATTTTTATATGGATGACATTTTAGCTATGTCATTAGGATTAATTACATTTTGGTCTAGCAATATCAAACAGAAGAATTTAATGGTCAGCGATTTATGGTCAGATATTAGTTTTTAACGGAGATTTATTACGTCATATATTAGCTTTCAAAACTCTTTTCTAAATGCTTTATTAAGGTAATTGAAATGACCGTAACACTTGTCAATGTCATTAAAAGTAATGACTTGATATAACTTAACTTTTCACTGAAATATACTTCGATTATAAAATACCTCCTTTCAATATCAAATTTTATTGGCTAACAAAAGGTAATATATGCTGGAAAACTTAGATAAAGTAAGGGAAGTGATTGGAGCTATTTTTAGTTGAAAAGAAAATTAATAATTTATGAGAGTAATTTTTGCAATCTGATAAATTAGATGTAATTAGCTTATCTTGTAAATATTTTCGTATATTTAAATAAATTAAGCTTTCAGTTGCTAGATTCTGGTGACAAATTTGGAAAAAGGTCATTTTTTTTTTTTAACTGTAATTTTATTTGCAAATTTCAGTTATGAAAAAGTAAGATTGTCGAGATCAATCATTCAACGTTTATGACATCCAATGATTAAAAAAAAGAAAAAAAAAGTAATCACATAATTAGTGTGAATCTATGAATCTACAAGAGTACAAGAGAATATCAGAAATCATTTGCTCATCAATAAATTCCATCATTGCCTTCCCCGAAATATAACTAAATCAAATCGAAAGTTACCCAAAAATTAATTTGAAATCATTTTGGTATTACTTGTTGAATAAGTTATAGAAGAAATTTAGGAAGAGCTTATTCAATTGTAAATTAATAGAAACTTCAAGGATTGAAATTTAAATTGAAGATGAAAAAGTAATGTCATATACTATACAATTCGGGATTCGAGAAATTGCTTCGCGCTATCCTTTGCTTGTAATTGTAATTGAAAATGAAAACATGAATGAATTTGGAAGCAAATGTTGATGATAAGCAAACTTTGAGTAGTTATATTAGCTTCAAAATTATTGAATTTGCAAAGAAGATGCTAATTTAAATATTACATTGATGAAAATCAAATTAAATTTTCTATTAAAAAATATTCGTTCTTTTTCATTTAATATTTCAAATTAAATTTTCTATTAAAAAATATTCCTCTTTTTTCATTTAATATTTCAAATTAAATTTTCTATTAAAAAATATTCCTTCTTTTTCATTTAATATTACTCTAAACCTAACTAACACGTTAAAAGTTTTGGTTTTTTTTAAGTTTATTTTAGAATTAATAAAATTTGTTACTTTTAAATCTGATGATCTATTAATTTTTATGCTACAAATAAAAAAAAAACTAAAATGATCATTGGTCTAAGGATGAATGGTTGGAAACCACTCCTTTAAAGAAATATTGAGAAAAAAAAAAGGTAAAGCTAATTAATTAATCGTTTCTTAAAGGCATTGTTTTTAATTTGAAGAATGCAAAATAAACTTCAACCTTTTTGTATGAATAAATTCTATAAATAAAATAGAATTCAAAAATTTGTCTCATTTAAAAAAAAAAAAGAAAAGTGAATTTTATATTATAATACAGAATGGGTTCATTGCGCATTTCTCCAACGCTTGGTATTGTTTGGAATAATGAAATGGATGATTTCTCGATTCCTGGACGATCAAATTCTTTTGGATTTGTCCCATCACCGGCAAATTTTATTCAACCCGGAAAAAGGCCATTAAGCAGCATGTCACCAATAATTATTTACAATAGCAATACCGGAAAGGTTAAAAAAAAAAAAAGTTTACTGGAAAAATAATTGATTTGTTGAATAAATTTATGTATAAAATATTATGTCTTATTTGAAAAGTTTTATAAAATTCCTTTTTTCTTTCTTTTTTTTTTCAACATTATTTATTACAAATATAATAAGGAAGGCGTATTTTTGGAATGTGAATTTTAAAAAAGATTAGCTTAAAATTATTCCAGTTGTTAATTGAATGAATTTATTTAAACTTGTTAAATTGAAATGAACAAAATTAATTTGAATAATTGAAATTTAAAAATAGTATTCTTTTTGTGGTATTATTCATACATATTTGTTATACAATTTATCAGTAAACAAATTTTATTTCTTAATAGTTTAATGATAAAATATTAAATTAACAGGTAAAATTTTCAGGTAAAAATGGTTATTGGTGCATCCGGTGGTTCATATATTATTTCAGCGATCGCACAAACTGTTATATACACTCTTATTTTTAATAAAACAATTAAGGAAGCGATTGATTTTCCACGTTTTCATAATCAATTTTTACCTCCAGAAACGTTATACGAAATTACAATACCTCAGGTAATTTTTTTTTTTTTTTCATTTTCTTTGCTATTATTCCATTATTTAGTT